CCATCAAAAGAATCAACTTTGTGATTTACTGCTACAATTAATAATTGTCTCAGTAAATGCCCAAACCCTACAGAACTGGTGCCTTCAGAGAGCCACTATGATTACATATTTGGCGTCCCTGAACCGGTTTTCCCTACAACTGTTTGCTATAGACCACAGCTTTTTCAAGTCAGTAAAGACAGAGGTGTCCATTACTCATTATAAAAAAACAATTCCCTACTCAAAATAAGTTCTTCAGTATGGACCACTGCAATTCACTCTTAAAACTTTAAGAAAACCCTTAAGATACAACAAAGGTACAGATACTGTTTTTAACATTTTAAAAATATAAAAGTGAGAAAACACGTTACTTTTCCTCACTTTCACCAAAGTGACTTTGTTTGAAGTGACGCTAAGACATAGAACAATGAGGGAGATTTGGTCCCAGGTAAAGCTGTAACTCAAAACGGAAGTTACCTTTTACCTAGAAAATGCTGGCAACATTAGAGCTCATAGTCTCCACTGATTGAAATACAATACTCTTGTAAACCTGTGTCTCCATTAACAGGTTGATTATTATTATTATTAAATATGTAGATGTGTACTAACATTTATACGGTATAACAGCACTAAACCAATAGACCAGAGACCTACGTAAACTCAAGAGTTACATTACAAACAGAACAATAATAGGTTTTTAAAATAAGTTAATAATAAAACTTTTTAAAACTTAAACTACTAAAAGAAAAACCTTTGGCATGTCCTTCACTAAAAATTAAGCTCAGTAACAATGAGGCAAAATAAATGATGCCAAAGGACATTAAAACAAGAAAACAAATGTTAAAAAAAATATGGAAGAACCAAAAAAATACTAAAACAGTTCCTACTGTGTATCAAAATAAAACAAAACAACAGAACTGTAGTGCATCACACTACAAGCACAAAACAAAACATCCTAAAGCATAAAAAATGTTTAAAAAATACAGAAGCTGTTAAAAGACTGGTATTTAACATGTATTGAAATCAGCATCACTTAAAACAGAACCCGAGATCAGTCCAGTTTCTTTCTTCCTGGGGTATCCAGACAGTCACTGGTTGGTCCTTTTCAACCAGGTTTCTCTAAACAGTACCCTCATGTGAGGCCAGATCACCACAGGTGGCTTTGGTCTGCCTGGTTCTCTTAAGCAGCACTGGGTTACTGGGAGTGATGCTGCTCTGGCCCAAATCAGTGCCTGCTGGCTCATGTCGGCACTGCAGTGTGAGCTCCCAGGTGGTTCAAATTGGTGCTGTTGAACTGTGCTGAAAATGTGTGTAGGAGAAATGGTAGTGAGACGGATGCTGTCTGGAGACAAGATGGATTTCGTGTCCTGCCTGTGTTCCTGCTGCTGTGAGACGGGTGGATCAGGGATGAATTCAGGGCTCCCTGATATCTGGCAGAGCTTGTTTGAGGATGCAGAGCGCCCCTCCATGCTGTCTGTGTCTCTGATGCAGACAGATGTAGGAAGTGAGACAGCCAGGTGGTTGGTACTGCAGAAAGAAGTGCGTTTTCAGTAGAGGGCTGCTGCTGTGGAGCTGGTGGCTGTGTGGCAGTCTCTGTCTCGAATGGTGGATTGCTGTCAGCAGTCTTTTGTGCTGTAAAACATTCTGTTGTGGACTGTTCTAGCTCTGACACTTGATCATCCAAAGAAAACAAAGACTGGGCTTTTTCAGTGTTAACCTCTTGCAAGACGTGTCTTTCCTGTTTAGAGAGCAACTCACTCTCCCCTGTTTCTGCTCCAGCTACCTGGTTGGCACTAGTCTCACACACCTTCTTCTTTTCACTAACAGCATTCACAGCAACACCTGCCTTGTCCTCCATCATTATCACTTCAGATCTCACAGTCTTTACATCTGGAGGTTTAGATGACCCTGGCACCTCTCATGTATCAAATTCTCTCCCAAATTTGAACACCAATTGAACACTGTTTTCTAGCTGTTTTTGAAATGCACTCATAATCCGCATAAATATGGTTAGATGATCTTGTGTTAATGCCTTTGTACAGTAAAAGTGAACTATTACTCAAATATAAAATCTACCTCTGTAAATTCTTCTTCTTCTAAACTGTTTAAAACAGAGAACAGAGAATCCCGTACTGACACCAATTGTTACATATGGGGCTGGACAGATATTTTAAAATAATGACACAACACACAACAAACACATAAAGTTACATTATATACACTATTTACAGATAAGTCATTTCAGAGGCCTAACATTCTGGTCACCCAGAAAAGCCCAGACTGCTACTAAGACTGCTACTATTAAGCACTAAACTCTTAATATGCCTACAGAGGCCACACAAGAGATGGGCTGCCTTCTAACTAAATACAAAGCAACCTGCATTTAAATCTCTCTCTGCACCCTGGATGCCATAAAATAAATGGGAGCCTATATCCCTATCCATACAATGCACCCTAATCGGGTAAGTCAGGTATGAATGATCAAGAAGTAGGGGCTCTCCCCTGGCACAAGCTTCACGTCCCAACTCCTCTGGACTCCTCTCTCTTGCTCTCCTCCCCCTTCTTTTTTCTGTGCTCTTAATATATTGTGTCTTTCTGCCCTTCTCCTTTGCAGTCATTAATCCACAATTTATCTTAGCATGCCTAGGCATGCTAAAATAATCTTAACATTTGTTTCTGCTCAAGCACCCCCAGACTTTAGCAAACATCCTCTCTGCTTTGAAGTTATAAGGTTATGTTTACTCTTCCCAGTGTCACAAACTTTATCTCAAATCTAAGAGACACTTCTCAGTCACCCAAAGCTGTAAGAATACTAATTTGCTTTTATTTGGCAATCTCTAGGTTCTGGAGAAAAATGTCTTTCAAAGAAACTGATGTACAACATTTAAGGGGGAATGCTGTCAGTTTGAGAGACAAGGGGCTGTTAAAGAAATTGTACAAAGCATTGTCCGTGGCAAGACAGATGTTTCAAGTTCTGGTTATCAGATAAGAATAATATCTAGTCAGAGCACAAAAAACAAGTTTATTGGAATTTGTGTGCCCCTGTTTTCATTGAGAAATGAACAATAAAACATACACACTTTTATTTGTTTTGACACACAATAACTCCATTCATGTTAAACCTTCTCCCTCCCTGTGTTTAAATATTGAAAAGATTATTTTAAACTGTTACTGGGACAAGGGTGCTAACAATGGGCGGATGATGAATATACAGTGAAATTAGCTGTTAAACAATGTTCACTACATATGAAGGTTCAACAATGTTGGTGATTTTTATCTTTTCACAATTCTCTCTGAAAAAGCTTATTTTATTTTATTTTATTTTAAACAAAGCTTTTAATAATTTTTTCCTCTACTTTTCTGTTGAGTGTACACACTGTGTGTCATAACCTTCAGACCTACTGTTTTACACCTTGAGTCCTAAGTATGTTTAGTAGTCTTGTATGTTTAGCAGTATAAAGATTTTAGAATAAGGCTGGTCTATGTCATAAAAATAACTTTGTCATTGGCAAAATCTTTTGGTTACGCCAGTAACATTACATTTTCTGTCAATATTATGTGTAAATTGTTGGATGGTTTCTGTTATATTTTTAAAGTTGTTCATGTCATTGTATGAATCTTAAGTGTACTTACCATGGCTGTTTATTTCAAACAATAAGGATGTTCTATACACAGTTTGTGTTGGTCTGCCATCACTGTACATTTCTTCACAGGTATGTTGTTTATCCACAGTATTGTTATGTTTTTTGGGGTTATGGAAATGTATCATTGAAATTATCTACTCTGTACTTAAAAGCTTAAAACAATAGCTTAGGGAATAAAGCTAGTGATGAAGATGACTGCAGCCACTACCACTAATACCACTGCAGCAGAGTACTATTAAATTATTACAATTGTCCAATTTTAAAACCTTTTCAATTTTTCAAGGACTTTTCAGTTTTAAAACCTTTATCTCCCTTAGAACACAACCAAATAAATATATTTCTAGAAAGTTTATGTTAATGACATTCTGTAAAACAAACATATAAAGTACATACACAAGAACATTACAATTAACTTCATTACTTCATTAGTCACGGACGTCGGAAGGGATGAACCGTGGAATGACAGGAGAGCGGAAAAGACCCTATGCAAAGCGTCAGAACGGGGAGTTAGATCGGGCTCAGCAGTGCAAAGAGTTGTGGAATTGGCGTTTAGAAACCTGTGCCCTCAGGCTACGGATGGGGCGGCGGCCTGGTGCTAGGCGGGTCCCAGGAAAAACAAACGTCAATGCTGAGCGAAGGTGAATGAGTGACCCAAAAATATATAGCCCAAGAGAGAGACACTGGAAGGACAGCTAAGCACAGGAAACTAGGGACAGTACAGAGTAGGAGCGCCCTCTGGCTAAGAGCAAATAACTAAGACACAGGAAACAAAACTATTGAATTTTTCAATTTCTTACAGTGTTCCTCCTTTCTGTGCAAGAACGATTTCAGCCTTTCAATTCTGCCCACAGCAAACCCCAGCGTTACACATTTCTTTCTTCTTCATCTCCATCACCTGTTTACTGTTACTTGGAAATTTTTCATTCCCACACAATCACCACACACACAAAACCCCCGCTTTTGTGCCCTACAAAATCCCTTCCTCTGTGTCATCAGAAAATGATGTGTAAGGTTACTGGGTTTTACTGCTGGTCTGTTTCTCCGGCTCTGTGTCCAGTTCAGTCAGGCAGGAATAGCACAGGATCTGGGTATACCTGGTGATAGTGGCTGAATAGCAAACACCAACCAGAAGAAAGAGAGACAGAGAGACAAAAAATATCCTTAGTCAACATCAGGTGAGTGCACAAAATCAGAGCTTACTTACATTGAAAGCTTATAAATCATAAGTCCTATTTGTAAAACATATAAACATGTAAGTTTAATTGTTTAACTTTTCACATTCATTATTCACGTATTATCAGTGGACCTAGGTCAAGATTAAAAAAGGCAAATATGAAAACCATGTCACCATCTTTTTAAAAAACAAAATCAGTCCACTCCTTTCACTTTCCCTATCCATATCATTCATTTCCACTTCATGTTTCCTGTCTTAACATTTTCTCTGAGACAGCATAACCAAAGTTGTCAACAATGTGCACTGTTGGTTGATTTCTACCAGTTAGGTTTTTAGAATGTACCGAATTTCTTACCCCCTATCCAAAGAATAATCTTAGGCCTCCTGTCTTCAGGTAGATAAACACCAAAGAAATACACTGGAATCCCCGACAGGCCGATGCCAATTCCTATCAGAGAGTTGATGGTGTCTCCATACAGAGGGACTATGACCAGGAACAGACTGCACAGGCAGTAGATCACAGGGAAGAGGAGAGTCAACTGCATGGAAGGGATGTAGAGTTAGACCTTGATAGAACCCACTGGCATTACCTCACATACTGTACCTGCTCCCTGAAGTTATGTATTTTCTGAAGGGTAAAAAACTGAACTGAACTGGCTGATACTGTAGTAATTTACTGTAGAAGGCTCTTGCAATCAAGGGATAAATGAAAAGCTCCTTGTTTTCTTGCTCAAAATAGTCTAATGCCTTCTCGGTGTCCAGAAGAAACAAAAGAGCATCTATCACTTGCTTCTGAAATACCTGAATAACATTAAAAAGTGTTTGAACAGTGTTAGATTACTTGCAGCCTTTAATGAAGCCAGGCCAATCTTTGTTAATTATCAAGTACAGCTGCCCCTTGAGATGTGTCACAAGTATTTTTGACAGAAGCTTGAAGCCCATATTTAAAAGTGCAAGAGGCCAACTCTTTTGGACACTTACCCTTCTAAAGTCTTATTAATTTTATTTTTTTAAAAGCTTAGAAAGTCCCTTTTCTGTCAATAATTGAAGCAAAAATTTGAAAAGCAGCCTTCTCTTTGGTAAGATAACCTATATATTTCACCATGTTCAAATATCCTATGCTTGGCAAGTCTCATTCTGTGTCAAAAGGGACTCTAGTGCAGAATGAAGGGCAGACATTCCTTTTAGTCTATCTGAAGATGTTGTCAATTTTGATTCTAAGATCTTTAATTGGAGATTTTTCTGCCTCTTGTTGGCTGCATAAGATATAACCAAACCCCTTGCAGTCTTCCATAATAGAGATGGGTTGTCAGTGGATTGGGTGTTGATAGAAAAAAATGACTTAAACTCTGAAAAGAAACAGGAAGTAAAATTATGATCTTAAAGATATCTTTAATTATGAAGGCATTAAATCCCCAAAGTCTAGATTGTATTGAAGGGCTTTTAAGTCTTATGGTGAGATAGATATACTGCTGCATCGTCTGACATATCTTTTTACAAGTCAGTTCTCATACAACATTTATAAGGATTGGAGAAGAAGATGTACTCTATCTGCTGAGTGTAGAGATCTCCTTGCTTGTGGTGATTGAGTCAATTTACCAGAAGGAAACCTATCCATTAGTGGTTTCAATTGACAAGTTCCCTCTACCTCTGCTCTTGGAAGTAAAAGAAGAAAAGAAGATCAATCCAACCCACACTGCTAAAGCAGATCAGTCTTTTGTAGTAGGGCATATCAACATCAATATCAATATCACTATCAATATCAGTCTTCTCTTCAGAAACGTCAGCACTTTCTTTCTTTTAACAAGCATACGATTCCCCTTAATATTCTAAGTGTATAGCTGTGTTACTAACCATAATAATTGTTGCAAATGTCATAAAGGTCTCCGAAGCATACAGAAGACATTCTTCTGGTCAGAAAAATGTATATAAGAACTGAGTTGACTGATGAAAAATAAACAATAACTCTATGAGGGTGATTAATTAGATGAACAATTTACATACAGTAAAGTATCAAAAAAGCCCATATAGTATCTATGATAAAGATGATCAATTCTGTGTTTTTCATGCATTAGCTGAATCTACAGAGTTTAGTTAATATCTAATAATTACCAAAAACACAACTGAGCTTTTTAACAATAGGAGCAGTCTTTCACTACAGATTTCTAGGTCTTTTGCCAGTCTTTGCTTTGTCTAATTCTATTTAGGCTTACTCAGAAAATTGAAAAATGAAATGTTATAAAGAAAAGCTGTTGGATAATGTGTCACGATGCAGTTGTGCAATGAAGTACATATTTATTGATAATTAAGTCTAAGTCATATGTTACTGTCAATTAAATATCGGATCTGCTTTTATTAATATATATTACCTTCACAGGCCTGGGTCTGTCAGGCTGAGTGATACGCAGGTAGATGAGGCCCACAACGGACAGGCCAACAAATAGCCAATAGCTGAAGCTGTAGTAGTTAATGAGTAGGAAAACATCTTCTACACAAAGAAACACCAACGCCATTAAGCCCTAGAGAGAAAGGAACAGCTTTCAAAACACTCAAGATGAAGTAAACACATAGGGGTCAAATACAGTGTACATTGGAAAGAAAAGATATACAGAACATAAATAACTTTTACTAAGAAGTTAAACCAACCGTATTGTTTACTCATTAAGGCACAATCAATAGAAAGAAAGCTAAAGTAGCAATTCTGTATTATTGCTGTTTAAATGATCTTGGCTGTTTATTTGCACATTTTTAGTGTGGTGGTTCACAAGGCAGAGGTGCAGTATCTGGTAACACTAGAAACTACTAATGGGACTCTTTAATGAGAACTGATTTCTCATCAGTTATGACTGAGTCTCACTATTTGTTCTTTCACCGTTGGTCCTGCACTTGTTTGCCTGGACAGTTTCCTCCTTGCCCTGTTGCTCACCCAGGTGGAACAGCCTGATTTAAGCAGTGTGTGGGTCTTAATGGTATACTTTATCCCTTGTGTTACTTTAATACATGTTTATCCAATATCTCACCAATTTAATTTTAAATCATATGATTATGTCCACTATTATTGCATACAGACACCGTTCAACTTTTATTATTAATACATATACAGTACATTTTTTTTTATTAATACATTATACTTTTGCGAAACACTGTATGAATCAGAATAGATTTTGTCACACATTCATAGTTACAGTAGGTCATGGCACTGAAAATTGTTTGAACGTTTTCAGCGATAGTTGTTTTCTCTGCTGTCTTTCTTCTTGGGTTTGTTGTGTTCAAAGTTCCTTCATACCCTAGTGAATGTAGTTGAGTTTATTGTTTAGTTTATACTCAAGGTCCACATTAACTTGATGAGCTAATTGATAAATTATCTAGTGACCTGTACCTTTTGTGAGCTAGTGAATGGATTCCAGAAATATCACAATTCCAGCAACAAAGAAATCACATGCAGAGAGGCATATATGAAGTAGTGATTTGAAATCCCTTCTCTTTTTCTCATGCATTGTAGGAAAATACAATGTAATGACTATACCATGCTGAAAAGAGAATTAAGAAAAAACAACGTTTCGGATTCACAACATTTCTTCTCTTTTCAACATGGAATGAGCCTATTACTTGTTCCTTTGCAGCCTACGCATGCTGACACAGCTACAGCCACATGTAATGACTATTATCAAGATCTACAGAGATTCTTTTCTCTCAGTCAGTCTGAAAGCTCATAAAGCCCTTGCACTTACATTGAATAGCAGTGCAGGGACTGGAGTGAAGCGCTCAGCATGGATGAGACTTAAACTGTCAGGGAGATGTCCTTCTCTTGCTCCCACATAAAACAACCTATAAACAGAAAGTCAGGAAATCTTCTGAGAAACCTAAAGAAATCTAACGGTTAAATATTTTCACTATCTGCTGTTGTATCTCTTATCCCGTGCAATCTGGCTGTAATTTAGCATCTTACACACTGAAGCCTATTATCTGATTCTATTAACATTTTGACAAAATGGTAGATGTACTCTACAAGCAAAAATCTAGCTCAGTAAATTTATTACAAGTTCTCAGTTACATGACACTGGATATTTTTGTGTTGTTGTTTTTGAAAAGTTATTTTGAAACAGGTCCTTAATTGAAAGGGAGCATAATGGTTGGAGGTGACAGATGTTCTCCTAAATTGTGTGTCCTTCCCTGGAAATCTGCTTGCCTTAATGACCTTGTAGCATTTCTACTGTAATTGTGTCCTAAGAACAAATTCATCTCTCGTCATTATTGCTGTGACTTTATCTCATTTATTTCTAACGTATTATTATACAGCAGACTGTGATATTCTCAAGTGGTCCATCTTTTAGAAGTGCTGAAAATAAGGTTGTTTCTGTTCCTATCTAAAAGATTTGTTTCATTAACAAATACCTGGAGGCAGCAATAATAGAGGCATTTAACCCTCCATAGCATGACATGGCCACAGCAATAGGTATAATCCAACTGGCACGTCCCAGGACTTCATTTCCAAATGTCTGCAGGAAAACCAACAAAACACATAAAGAAGCACTGCAAATGGAATTTATCTATGATGCTACTGTATTTATACAAGAATTCCATTCATCCATCCATTTTCTAACTGCTTCTTCCAATTCAGGTTTGGTGGCTATCCTGGCAAGCAATGGGCACAAGGTAGTGTCCATCCTGGGCAGACAGACACACATATGTACCAGGACCAATTTTCCCAGGAGCCATTTAACCTACCAGTATATTTTTGGAGGATTGTAGGAGGAAACCAGAGCACCTAGAGGAAAGTCAAATGAACGCGGAAGAAGATACGAACTTCACTGAGAGAGCACCCCATTTCCAGAATTGAACTCAATGCCCCACAGTACAAGATATAATAATGAACATTTCTTTTGAGGTGTGCTCAAATAAATCTTAGTATGAACTAATATACACAACATATTAAATATTATAAATAGGTAAACAGTTTAAAAAAACATTACAAAACATTGTTGATCTCTTTGTAAGCTTTCCACTTCATTTTTTACTTCATCTAGCAAATCAGTCAAAACACTGACACAGCTACCTACTTGAATTTCTATGTGTCTGCCAGTAGAGGCAGCCTTGCAGGGCCTCAAAGACTTGCAGATAGTTCACCCGGTGTCTAGTGGTGTCTAGTGGTTGCATACAGTATATACAGTATCTTTATATTTTATATATAAATATATACATTTTCAGATTTTCAGATGGGTTTCATTACATGGGTCATTTGTGTATTGAAGGATGTGGAAGCTCTGGGAAGCAGGGGGTTTGTGTTGGTGCAATGTGACCTCTTGGACAGACTTTTAATTGAGGAGGATTTGCTTTGTTTATAAGGCGTTGTGTTATATCTGTTTTAAAGAAGAGCTTCCATGTGTAAAAGTTCCTGAGCTATACTATTCAAGACTCTGTAGCCTACACTTCTTTTTGGTTTTGTCTGTCAGGGGAAAATGGCATTTATGCTGTCCCCCAGGCTCAGTGTGTGGTGCTGCTCAGGCCATCAAAGTACTGAATATCATAAGTATCTGAATAGCATAAGAAGTTCAAAAGTTAGATTCTTACATTCTATTAACAAATGATATGCAATACTGCAGTGGATAGGAGAAGTTGGCCCATCTACTCCATTTGGAAGTTAATAGGAAATTGATCAAACAATGTTATTAAATCAACAAGAAATAGGTTTATTCCATGCTGAAAAAAAGAAGAAAGAAAACACAACGTTTCGGCTGTGGAGCCTTCTTCAGGTGTGAGAAAGGACACACCTGAAGAAGGCTCCACGGTCGAAACGTTGTGTTTTCTTTCTTCTTTTTTTCAGCATGGAATAAACCTATTACTTGTTCCTTTGCAGCCTATGATTGCTGACGCAGCTACCCACCTGAACTACTACATGTTATTAAATCTTTTTGTGAAAGAGGTCTGGGTTTTGCCTCACTATAATGGGTGGATTAAGTGTTCCAGCCCCCCACATCTCTTTGTGTAAAGTGGTGTCTCCTGTTCCAGGTTTTCAGTAAATACACACAAACATATTTTCTCCTTGTACCTTCTTTTTATGTTTTATGTTTTATTGATCATTCTGAAGAAGTCTTGGTTTATTGAACCTTTTGAGGATTTTGAATACTGGCATCAAGTCTCCTGTCAGTCTTCTCTGTAACTACAGACACTGGAATGTAGGAAGTAGCCATCCTTTGAATTAGATGTTAAAATGAAGTCCTAACAGCTTGGTCAATAAGAGCTCCTAATTGAAGGGGTGTTCACCCCATTGTCCTTTTACAATTTTACTCTGGACTTCCCTTAAATGTGTGTAGTGAAGCAACATCGTGCTTCTCTGTCTACTGTGTAGTGGGGCTGCTGTGAGTACTGGCTACCATGCACCACGTGTGGTTGGAGTTGCACCTCAGTGAAATATGTCTCCTCCTATAAAGCAAATTCAATACTACAGCCTACCACTGCAACGGCATCACTGGATAAGATGGATGGCATGTCCAGCACCACATAGTAGGCCACATTGGTGAGAAGGTAGATGATCGTCACTATTGGCATGGATATAGCAATGGCAAGCGGAAGATTCCTAGACAATGAAGAGATGAGACAAGTAGTTATTGTTAATAAAAACAAGTGAGATAAATAACACATGCGTAGGGTATAAGAATTTAAATGTTGCTTCAGAATAATACAATTCTATTAATCAGTATTTTAAAAACTGAACAAAGTTTTTTCAGTTTTTGGTGCATCTTCATGAGGAATGATCTTCAGTATCTTAAGCTAAGAATGTAGCTTTCATCGTCCTATTCAAAATTCCTTCTATTTGCTGTTTAAAAATATATGTCTAAAGGAAGTACTTCACTTTTTAAAAAGTAGTGTTACTTATCCTCTAGAGATTCACAGTCTTTGCAGTTTTTATGGGGATGTGTCTGAGGACCTGGAAATATCACTAGACTAGATAGAAATAGAAGGAGCCTAATTCAGTTATAAGAAAATAAAAAAATATATATATTGGGATGTGATTAAACGGCCCTCTAGCTCCCTAGGTCATTTGATTTCTGGCAGCTAATGTATCCCAAGATCTCATCAGCTGCTACATGAAAGAAGCCAGGGTACCTTTAACAAGATGGCTGGGTAGGTATGTCCATGTTCCCATCACTCATTGTGCAAAATGCACCTCCTGTTCTCAAGCTTAAGTGAACATCTCTAATTGGGTGCTATTTACACACAAAGGGGCAATTTCAAGATTCCATGTACACAGCAGGGAGTGAACACTACTATTTGGAAAAATTGTTTGCCCTGTTCTAATATTTCCTTTGCTGCAATGGCTAAGTATTGCAGTAGTTTAGGTAGAGGCTGAACCCCATTAATATTTGTGTTTAAGCTCTACATCCCGGGACTAGTCAGGGCTGTGCCAATCTGAGATATGAAAAAAACAGCTTACCTTTCCGGGTTCTGGATTTCTTCTGTGACAAAATTAAGGGTGTCCCAGCCAGAATAGGAAAAGAGGGCCGAGTAGAGAGCCAAGGCTATATGTCCTGTCTGCACTGTGGAGCCCTCGAAAGGATTGTCAAAGTTCTGTGTCTCTCCTACACGACAAAACAGAAATTTAGTCCCTAACAAGCCTGCTTGGCCAGAGTTCCTGCTTTTAGACAAAGCAACAAATTTGTGTTACTGTAAGAGGGCTTTGTTTATTAGACCTGTATTGTAATAATACAGTATATTCTTTATTTCTGCAGAAATTATCAATGATTTGTTTTCCTCAACATTTATTACTAGGCTTAAGATCTACTGTGTGTTATATAAATGTCTTTACAATATTAATTATGTTACATGGGATATTGCATTAAAATCCAAGAAGTGTATGCATGTTTGTCCCTTAAATACTGTAAATACATAGTGCATCACTCCCTACAGTCAAGCATTGCGGTGGCCGCATTATGATATGGTTCTGTTTTCTTATCAGCAGGAACTGGGAAGCTTGTCAAGGCTAATGGAACCATACTGAAGTATGGAGAAAAGTAATGACAAATCTTAGAAGAAAACCCTCTTCAGGTCTAAAATAAAATTTCATCTTTCAGCAGGGCAATGTCACAAACAATGTCCTTTAGTGGCCTAGATAACGTTTTGGAAAAGATGCTGTTAGGCATCTGTAGAAAGACATGAAAACAGGAGTAGTTTACGTTAGTATATTCAAATCAACTTTAGAAAGCTTGAGCACATTAATAGACAAAAAGTACATCAGGCAGTGCCCAAAGTGACTAGAGAGTCACCCAAAAAGACTTATACTGTAGCTTTAATTGCTGACAAAATTACTTCCAACAAAAAGGTTCACGGGTCTGAATACATATGAAATCAACATATTTCATATTTTTCTATTTAGTTTTTGCTGACATTCACTGTAACTCATCCTACTTAGACATCTTTAGTTGGATTTTCGGGTTTTGAATTAAATATGACAGTAAGCTTAAAAAAACACTTGCATTATTTTTATTTCACAAAATGGGATACAGGAAGGGTTGAATATTTTTTTTAATACACTGCTTTTGCATGACATTTTGTTATTCCTTTCATGCCATCTTGGATTATAAATATCAGGTAAATGAACAAAGAAAGCAACAAAAATGATAAGTGGGACAGATCCACAGAGACTTTGAATCTGTGCTTTGTCATAAAGTGCTCTCTAACATTGGATCTCATTGCAGTGTACAAGGGCTGACCTGTTTTCTTACCTTGGATGATTTTTGTGAGTCCCACAGATATGATTAAAATAAGGGCTGCCAGTTTGGCGTAGGTAAAGATGTCTTGTACCATAGTACCCCACTTCACATATGCACAGTTAATGAAGGTCAGCATGCCTAATTGGCAGCAGAAAAAAAGGAAATAAGTCAGTTTTTCACAGGAATCAATGCAAATTAGAAGAATAAATACTCCCTCCAAATATTTAATGTGAAGAAATCCGTTCTCTAAGAGCAGTGCCCCAAAGAGTATAGTACATCAAATTTATCTCTTTACATTTTCTTTTAACATAATATGCTCTATTTAATTTCAGTGTTATACCGAAAGCAAAAAAAAAAAAAAGAAAACTCTAGAAACTTTCCTTGGACTGTAAATTGTGAAGCAGGGGGATTAGGGAAATAACACACACCTAACCTCACAACGACATTAAGAGCTTGATATTAAATTAAAGCACAGTCTTCACAATACAGTTTGAAAAGGCCAACTGGTTTTGGAAGCTCCTTGTAAATGAAACACATATATGTAGATCATAAATAATCACACTCTAAATGGGCTAGACGAGACCCTGAAGGATAAC